ACAAGCCAAAAGTTTTGCAAAGTACTACTGTATCCCTGAAAGATTAGTTGATACGATTGAATAGTTGTTCAGAATTGATAATGCAACTGAGCTTTCAACTAATGCAGGAACATCCTGGTATCACGAAGAGCGAAAGAAAGCGAATATGTAGGTTGATGGATTGCAGGAAGCTATCAGCAGAAGCCTGCATTCATGCAGTGCAAAACGAGCGACTCCCATTACGAGTTGTTGTGCAGGTCCTCTTCTTTGAGCAGGTAAGGTCCACAGTTTCTGCTGGCTGCAGCACACCTGAGTTGCCAGGCTCAATCACAGCACTACTCCCTGGTGGGTCTAATGGGAGCTCGAGGTCTACTACAACTAACCCTGAAGAGGACTGGGATGCTTTACCAACGGCTGAAGATATCAAGGTTCTCAAAGGTGAACTGGCTACTCTCACGCTTGGGGGCTGGAGGCAGCGAAAGAAGTGGGAATGAGAGTGCAAAATATGATGCAGAAAAAGCCACTCCCAGTAAAATGAAAGGTTTGGTCATGTCAAAAATCTTTTCCAAGCTCTGGTCTGCCAAAGAGAGAAATGGTGATATTAGCAGCTCCGATACATCGGAGAGTCCGGGATCTGTCAATGCCGAGGAAACAAAGTCTACCCTGTCGAGAAGTAGGAGGCAGTCATTATCTTGAATAACATAAACTGGATTTCTTTGGTTCTAAACTTTGTATCTTACATGATTGACATTAGTAGATTAATCTGCTAACATTTCTTTAGGTGATTTCTCCACTGTGATAACTGAAGCAAAAGACAAAAACAGGCAGGTTGGGGAAGATTGGAGGGTTAGGAGTTGACCTGTACGTGAGATTTTTAACTGACCTGTACAAGAAAAGTACGTCGTTTTATCCCCAGTTAATGAGTTCCAAAAAATTTTGGAGTATTGTTGTTGTGAACTCTAGAATGGAGTTCGATAAAACGACGTAGTTTTCTTGTATCATAGCCAGGAATGAAATGCAGAATTTGGTTTGGTGCCTTTTGTTGGCCAATGGGTCTTGGGCAGGCCGCCTAGGTTAAGATTGGTCCGGTCAATAAAAGTAATTGGGCCCGTCAGGTCCAGTCTGTGATGACGGAACTGGGTCAGATAATTGGGTCAATTGGTTTTGATTGATCTGATTCCTCATGGGCCGAGTCAACTGGCTTGCTTTACTATTTAATATTTTAAATACATATTTATTACTAATTTATTTAAATAAAAATCTGACAAAAATTATTTTTATCATGCAATAGATTAAAGCCAAGTCTTTATTTGAAAACTTGTGCTTAATTTAATTAAAAAGAAATAAAAATCTCTTAAAAATAAAAAAAGCATTTTCGTATAAAAATTTATTAATGAAATTTAAATGTGTTACTCCAATTTCACCTTAATTTTCAATATGAATCATCTTTTTGTGATCCCAACACATAAATTTTCTACGTCCTTAGAATCCAATTAAGTATAGACTATTTTGTCAATAAATTCTACAATATTCTTATGCATAAAAGAAAAATTAAGCCCACTAAACTACATTAATTTTTTTAATCAGACGAATTTAGAGTGAATTAGTGGTAGAGAGTCTGTGTTTGACCGTATGACTGACTGAATTTTTTCAAATAGGGTTCCACCCAATTCTCCTTTTGAACTATATATATTTACTATTTAATGGCCTTGGATTCCTCCACCAAAAAGACAAGAAATAAAAAGTTACCCTTGAATTCAAATGCTGTCCTTGGGCCTTGACTTAAAAAGCCTCTCTCTTTTTCTTCATATAAAGTAAAAGAAAAACCTATACTTCCCCCCCACAAAAAAAAAAAAAAAAAAAAAAAAAAAGGAGAAAGAAATCTAAGATACATTCACGTAAAACATATACATAATCCACATGCATACACATGATTAAGGCTAAAAATTCAAAAGAGTACATATTTTGGGTCAATGTGGGTTGGTCTCAATTTTGTCCAATTCTATAGTCTTCCATTCAAGACTAAAGACTTTCACTTACCATAACCAAGTGCACCAACCTCTAAGATGCTCCCACATTATTTTATAAAACTTTACTTTTAGTTTATAATTATCATATTCTCTCACATCAAACACTATACCTAACAATTGTCTAATCATATATAACCTAGGAACAGGGTTGTATATAATTAAGTTTTTTTTTTTCTTTTTGTTTTATGGTAAAAAAATTGTAATTATTCTATATAAAAAGGTAAATTATGTTGTTTAAACTTTGATTACCATGAAATTTTAGTTTATAAATTTTAAGATTTTAGCAAAAAAAAAATTAAAATTAAAATTAAAATTATGGTATTTAAATTGAATCTATTAATGGATGTTTTGAAGGTTAGTTAATTAGAATTAGTTAACATCAATAAAATAAATAGAATGGTGTTTATATTTCTCATATTGAATCTAAAATTAATAAAACTTTCAAACTTAAAAACAAATATAATTAAATTTGTAGAAAAGAATTATGGGGAATGTAACCACTGAAAGATGAACAATATATGTGTGTGTATATATATGTATATATATTTGATGTATCATATGTTTTACATGTTCAAAGATCCAAAAATAAAATATTCAATATTTAGCAATGAATTATAAACCATTGACTTGCCAAGAAGACTTGCAAAGATTAGAAAGGCAGAATATTTGAACATACCAACCAGATTTGACTACAATTATTTTTGGAATCACCAACACAAAAAATCTTCCCCTACCATCTTTTTCTTTTCTTTCATACCTAAACCATCTATATCTACATACCCATATTCATATATATACACATCTATATATATACACACACACACACACATTATCAAACAAATAAAACATGAATAAAAGCCACTCGCTCACTCACACTGAAGCTTTTGGCAAATTTCATTTATATTGGAAACCCTTTTTTTTCCAAGGGGAAACACCTTTTGTTTTAGTAAAAAGTTGAATAACTAGAAGAGCTTTCAAACCTAGATATGATACTCTATTATATACACATGATTATGCTTAATTTAGTGTGATTAAATTAACTTAATCTAAGTCAAAATTTTGGCTATAATGCACATTCACACTAACCTACTTTTACCTAATTTAAGCTTTTGTTAGTGACATTACAACTAAGTTAATGTGGATTAACAAAGGAACAACTTCTATTATTGATTCAACTAAAAAGAAATAGAATTCTTATCCATTTAAATCCAAAGTAATCTTCAAGAATTTTTTTTTTTTTTTTTTAAAGTAATTTGTTGTTCAGTGTATGAGGTACATCATCGTCAATGACATTGCCTCATGAATGACATATTCTTCTCTGTAATTTTAAAATTTCCAGTTGTAATTTATATATAATGCTTAAATGAATAGGTTGAAAAATCCCATATGTGTATATAATACACAAATATATGTATATATATATATACATACGCACGAAATGTCCATTTTTTATTTTGACATGAATTTTTTTAAACATCGTGTCTCGAAGATACAAATTAAAAAAAAAAAAAAAATTATGTTTAGAATTACAAATGATGAATCCATATATAAATTACAATAAAAATATTTATACTTTGAATTTGTGGGTAATATTTTAAAGTTTATTTTATATATATAATAACATTTTTTAGTTATATTTTTAAAATTTTCATATATTTTACTTTTATTTTTTCTTTACAAATATACTTTACATATTTTTATGAATAAAATTTTCATTACACCTTATCCACGTGTGACAGCATATATATACATATATATCTTAAAATTATTTTTAAAAAATTAATGTAAGACAGATATTTATGTATCATTTATATGTATGTCTATATATGTGTGTGTGTGTCAATCAAATCAGAAAAAAAAAAAAAGCGAACTACTGCTTACTAATTCTCAACTTACAGCATATTAGCTGTAATCCCTAATTCAATATATATCATTAATTAGTTGAATTTACTGTGACTAATTATAATTAATTATTATACAACAGTAAATAGTTAATAATGAACACCTTTTTTTACAAAAGATGATAAGTGTGCCATGTACCTTTTTTTTTTTTTTTTTTTAAACAAAGTTAAAAATAATTTATGAAATTACATTACTCATTAGTCAATTCATATATTTTTTTGATTTTTTATTATTAATTAATTAATTAAATTTATATTTTTAGTTAATTTATTT